TCTCTTATTATGATTTTTAATATAGTTTCGTCTAAGTTTCGACTGTTATTAAGGGGTTTCGTCCCTCATCTATAATTTAGAACATTAAATAAATATCTTAAGTTAATCTTTTAGTTAAATAATAATAAAAATAATGAAAAAAGTAATTGATAAAATTGTTATATATTATTTTTATAATAATCATTACAATGTTACATTACATGTGATGCAAAACAATTTTGTAACTAATACTATAATATTACAAAAAAAAATATTAAAAATAAAGATTATCTATATTATGTAAACGTTAAATAGTTTATTTGAAATTTTGTTCAAGCTTTTGCTAATACAGTAGCTATTATGTAAAATGCTTTAAAACTAAAAGTGGGAAAAAAATTAATCAATTAAATTGAAAGTAAAATAAAAATTAAATTTCATTTTAAATAAAATATATATACCTGATAAGTCTTCATAGGTACCACTTTGAATATTATCGATTTGTGATCCAGAATCAGAATTGCTATTAGTTGTATTTTTTGCAAAATCCTTTTCATTTATTTCTATATAATAAATTATATTAATATAAATAATATAAAATATTAATTTATATATCTATAGATACTTACTTTCAGCTGATTCAATAATTTTTCCAAAGCCCATCTTAAAAAATTTTTCCATTACGACTTTAATAGTTGGTCTTTGCTCGGGTTCTTGATTCCAACATTTTTTATAAAGGTTCACATAATCTTCAGGAGTATCTGGTATAGTATCTTCACGAATTTTATGACAAGTAATAGCAATAATAAGTTCCTGATCATTACTAAACTTATCTTTAAATGGAGGGTACCCACTAGATATTTCCCACATTAATACACCATAACTATAAATATCCGAAGATTTAATGTATTGAAATTTTGAATTTGCAAGTATTTGTGGTTCCATATAAGCGGCTCTACCAAAAGACTTAATATGCATTGAAGAATTATTTTCAATTTTCGAAATACCAAAATCTGTAATTTTAGCATTATTTTCATGTATAACTATATTTTTGGAATGCTAAATTAAAAATATGTTGTCAATACTTTATTAATAATAATATCTATACAATTAACATAAAAATAATATTTACAAGATCTCTATGTAAGACATTCTCATTGTGCAAAAAATACAATCCATCTGCAATTTGAAATGCCAAATTATTCTTACGTTCCCAATTTAAACAATTAAAATTATTCTTGAGAAAATTTTGGAGATTGCCACCATCCGCATATTCCATAACAAGAAAAGGTTCTTTTGTAAGTTTATCTATTAAAAATTTTTTTAAAATAAATTTTATTTTTAAAAAAATAATTAAAGTTATTATATTACCTTGACTAATACCTAGGAAACGTACAATTCGATCACTGTAATTGAGATGTAAATGTATTTTTAACTCATAAATAAATGCATTTAATTTACCACATTTAAATGCTAATGTGTCGGTTAATTTTTTATAAACAACGTAATTATTTGTTTTATACCAAATTGCTTTTATAATGCTTCCAAAACCTCCGCTATCAAGTTGTTCTGAATTAATCAACTCATTAAAAGGTATATTTTTTACTTTATTTTTCAAGGAATTAATAATAAATTCAATCGTATCTACTTCATATTTTCCAATATTTTTTTCAGATTTATTGTTTATATTTTTTACTGATTTTTGTTGCCATTCAAATGCTTTTTCTAAATCTGCATCTATTCCTATGCCATATTCATAGCATTTAGATAGATTTAATTGTGCATTTTTGTATCCATTATCGGCTGATTTTTCATACCAATAAAAAGCTCTTTTTGAATCTTTTTTAATTCCTTTACCCTCTTCATAAAATAATCCTAATTTATATTGTGCAATTTCGTTTTTATTTTCTGCTGATTTTTGATACCAATAAAAAGATTTTTTTAGATCTTTTTTAATTGCTACACCTTCTTCATAAAAAACACCTAAATTGTATTGTGCATACTCATTTCCATTTTTCGCTGATTTTTCATACCATTCAAATGATTTAACCATATCCTTTTCAACTCCTAAACCGTAACGATAACAAATGGCTAAATTACATTGTGCAAAATTATATCCATTTTCTGCTGATTTTTGATACCAATAAAATGCTTTATATAAATTTTTTTCTACTTTTATTCCTTTTTCATAAAAATATCCTAAATCATTTTGTGCTATGCAATATTCTTGCTCAGCTGATTTTTTATACCAATAAATTGCTTTTTCTAAATCTTTTTCAATTTCCCATCCATAATAATAATGATTACCCATATTATATTGTGCAAGTTTATTTCCGCATTCTGCAGATTTTTTATACCAATAAATTGCCTTTTCTAGATCCATTTCGATTCCCAATCCATTTTGATAGCATTCAGCTAAATTATATTGTGCATCAATATTATTTTGATGAGCTGCCATTTGATAAGATTCGAATGATATTTCTAAATCCTTTTCAATTCTCGATCCATTTTGAGCTATGCTATTTAGTTTAATGCCATTATCTGATTCATTATATTCATTATCTGATTCATTATCTGATTCTAATTCTTTCACATTTAACTTGAAATTTCGAATCATTTGAGATAATTCTCCATGTAATGAAGATTGAAGATTTGATTCATGATCATGCATTTGAGAATATTTTGTAATGTTCGTTTTTGTAATAATCGAAATTAATTCAATAACTACTTGGTTCATAGTTGGACGATTATCTGGCTCATTGTCCCAGCACTCTAAAAGCATAAAACTATTTAGTGATCGGTAACATTAAATTTAAATTTAAATTTATAATTTATAATTTATAATAGTCTTTACCAGTATAAATCTTTACATAATCTTTAGGCGTACCCGGAATGATATTTTCTCTGAGTCCTTGTGAAATATCTATAGCTAAATCAATGTCGTATGGTTCACTTTCATCATAAAAAGGAGGACATCCACTCGATATCTCCCAAAAGAGCACACCAACACTGTAAACATCGCTCTTCTTATTAGATCGTTGCGATGTCCCTTCATTTATTCTTTGTCTACCAAATCTTTCTGGATCAATATAAGGAATAACTCCAAGAATTCTTGACTAATCTGACTGATTAGTAACTTCTTCAAGCCTTTTCGATAATCCAAAGTCTGCTAGTTTAATTACGCCTTGATGAATTAAAAGATTGCCGGAATGCTATAATAATACGTGTAAACAAATTGATTAGTAATTATTAAACAGAAATTTTATATATATCATGTAAGATTACCAAATCACGATGTACAATTCCTTCTTCATGTAACCGCAATACAGCACAAGCTAACTGGAATGCTAATTTGAATTTATCTTCCCAATCAAGCTTATCAAAATTCTTCCTCAAATAGCTTCTAAGCATTCCACCATCAGCATATTCCATCACTAACAAATATTTTTTCAATGGTTCGTTTTGATTTTCTAATAATTTTTTAAAAAATATACATAAATAAAATATAAAGGTCCATATATAAACCATGTTATGAAGATTATATACCTTTATTTGAAGTTATCCCACAAAAACGGATAATATTATTATGAAAATCCACTTTATGTTGAAGATCAAGCTATATTATTATAAATATAAATATTTAATTGATATACTGTATATATGAATTTATAATAATAGACCGAAATAGGTCTAATACTTAATTTTGTAATTACCTCACGAATAAGTTCTTTAGCAATAGCGTTGTTAAAATAATGAAACGATTTTAACGCAAGGTGCCTAGAACTTTTCCAGTTTGCACGATAGACTTTTCCAAAGCTGCCAGTACCAATCACTTGAATATTGCTAAAATGTTTATAATCGTAGTATTTGATACTTTTTCTAGAGATAGATTCTTCAATCCAATTAACCCACTCATTCGAATTATTTGCAACTTGCATTTTATTTTATTTTTTTTTTAATTTGTGTCTAGATAAGTGCACTTGGTAAATCATTGTAACGTCAGTCAAATTTAAGCCACCTATTGTCACACGGATCTTCATGATTTAAACTAACTAAATAAAGTGGCCATTACATACATGATTAAAATATTTAATTGTTTATAGGATTTTCGCCCGGAATATGTACTTTTTATATGTTATTAAGAAACTCTTGTGAACTGGAATATTATTTGGCGTTAATATCAAAATTTTTAATAATATAGTTTTAAGTGTTACGCAGTAAAACAGTTCTTCCTTGCAAAAATAATAGATTTAAATATGGTTGTCAAAAAAATTTAGCATTAAAGCACAATGATAAAATTAATATTTACTCGTAGAAAAATGGATTCTTATAATAACTATTGCACATTTTAAAATATGTGTTAATGCTGAGAAAAGGGTCCAAATTGTAAAAAAATTTATTTTTAAATAATAGTTAAATTTAATTTCACTTAGGAATAAATTTTGAAAAAAAAATTTCAATTTAGTTCTTTCTCCCATGGTAATAATACCGAAAGATTAAATTATTTATTTTAATATGTCCATAAAATTTTCCATATAAATCAATGACCATCGCTTTTTCATTGAAAATGTAAGGATCATTTGGATTCGTGGCTTCCACGTAAGATACTAGCAGAAAATTATTTCTTATATGGCTCATTATACAAAAATTAAAATCTCGAATTCTAATTTAATATCAATCAGGATAAATCGCGGCGAATCATGTGGAGGACTATCGTGTTATCATAATAACTAACATATTAAGTCGCTCGGTTCACAGTTAGTAACTCATGATTTATAAAAATAGATTTTGTGTTATAATTGGTAATATCGCATACGGAATATAATTGATAAAATTGTAAAACAAATAGATAAATTTTAATATTCACCTGAACTATTTAATCTTTCTTTAACAATAAGTTATAAGATTTAAAACCAATTGCCGTTCTAACGGAACTCAAATCGTGTTTCGGTAAGAAACGTTGCACAATTTTTTTAAATTAATGGATTCTATAACAATATTATAAAAATTTAATTATCTATGAATTTACATACAAAAATTTTACAACCTTTAGATTATCGGTTATTGTTGTTCGGACACTAACAGATGTTTCATTAGATAAAGGGTTAGGTTATGATCTTATCTAGTTCGGTTAGTCTAGCCTCACAGTTCTAGTTAATAAGTTCTTATTGAAATTTAAATATAAAATGGCGCGTCAAAAAAGTTTTAAAAAGCATTCTGTTTAGAATTTCATTGCAATAACGAAATATTAGATAGTATAGAGCGCCCACAATTGAGGTAATAGAGGTTGGAACAGTTTTTAATTTGAGACCCGGATAAGTTTTATAATGCAATACAATGTTAACAAAATATTTTTTTTTCTTTGATTATTTTAAAGGAATAAATATTAAGTTGCTTATAAATTAAAAATAAACATGATTCACCAAATCAAAAAATAATTGAGTACGTCTTGCTGTAATATATATAATTGCTTGTCTCTGAAAAAATGTTTCGCTAGATACAGAAGTTGCAGGGAATAGATAGATATTTTTTATAAAGTTTATAAAAGCTGCTTTTGTTTACATCCACCACTTTAAAGGATGTAATATCAATTTGCTTAAATTCGAATGAAAATTTCATTAGATTCGAAAAAAAAAAATATATATATAATATAATAGCGTCAGAAAATGTACAAATTCAAAATTTAATTTTAATATATAAAAATTTTTTTTTAAAAAAAAAAAAAAATTTAATCTTAGATCGCACAAATGAAAATCATAATTCTGGTCAAAATAATGATAAATTATATATATTTAACCGAGTAAACTTCCGGTTTCATTAAATTCGAATAACCGGTTTTATTATACCCGGTTTCGAATCTGAAAAAACCAGACCAGGTTTTATGTTGCTGTTGTGAGTGTTGTGACGAAATTGATTGATTTTCGTCTGAAATTGGAATTCAGACACCTTTTTTGTTTTCTGAATTCCAACTTCAGACAACTTATAAAAAAACTATTTAACCAATCACAATATGCCAATTTTTTTTACAATTTCGTAAATATAGTTAACTTTAAAATTTTACATTTCAGAATTTTAGCTTTTAGCTGAATTATAATTATAATTTAATTTCGCGGCATTTATTTATTAAATTTTGTAGCATTAAATTTCCAATTTTATTTTATTTTATTTTATTTTTTTTTTTTAAGGATATTATTTTTCTTTTCTTTTATTATTTATCGTTTTAATTTTTTTTATTTTTTTTTTTAGGATTTTTGTTCACATTCAGGTTGCTTATGTAGGTTTTTCTTTGTTTTAGTTATTTATTTTTTTTATTTATTTTAAATTTTTTTAACATTTTTTGCCAATTAAATAAGTTCTTATTTAAAATTTATTTTTTATTTTTATTTTTAGTTTTATTTTATTTCTAGCAGTTTTTCGACCTCATTGGGTGCTGCATCAGTTAAATAAGTGATTTTATTCATTTTCATTTTTCCAGGTTTTTTTTAAAAACTTCAGACCGAAGTGATCTAACTTGAAAAAGCAAAAAAATAATTATTCCATTAGAAGAACATGTTATAACATTCACTATTTTTTTCTTTTTAATTCTTTTAATACAGCAGAAAGCAAATAGAAAAAGAACTCCTACCTTTACGAATTACCTGTATAATTATATTATTTTGAAGCTGAGAGGCGAATTTTAAAATAAATCAAATTTTAATTATAAAGAAAAGGATCGTTCATTTTTTTATATAATAGAGTAGTAAAGAAAATAATAAAGAACAGTTAAAAAAATCATAAAAATTTTATTAATTAAAATAAATTGCTTATGTACAGTAAATGTAGATTATCCTTTATATTACTTTAATTTTAATATATAAATATATAATTTGTATTTATGAATTTCAATTTCAGATATCTCAATTTTAGACGATCTCGTATATGAAATTCAGATTTTATCTGAAGTTAATTTCAAATATCTTAATTTCAGTCAGTCTCGTATATGAAATTCAGATTCTATCTGAAGTTTAATTTCAAATATCTCAATTTCAGATGGTCTCACATCTGAAATTCAGATTCTATCTAAAGTTCAGATATGAGGTCACCTGAAATTAGGATATCTGAAATTAAATTTCAGATATCCTAATTTCAGATAACCTCATATCTGAAACTCAGATTCTATTTGAAGTTTAATTTTAGATATCCAAATTTCAAATAGCCTTCATATCTGAAATTAGAATTCAATTGTAATTAAAGAGTTACACAAAAATTAACCAATAATATCATGACTAAAATTGAAATTCAAATAACAAAAAAGGGTATTTAAAATTAGAATTCCAATTTTAGTAACTGATCTTTAAATTTCAATTTCAGATACTTGAAGATCATCTAAAGTTAAAATTTAAATTATCTTTAAGTATCTGAAATTAAGATTCTAATTTTAATTAACTGAAATTGAAATTCTAATTTTAGACATTCTTTTGTTATCTGAATTATAACTTCAGACAACTTATAAAAAACTATTTTAACCAATCATAATATGTCTTACATTTTATAAATATAGTTAATTTTAAAATTTTACTTTTTTTTTTAAAGATGTTATTTTTCTTTTTTTTTTATTTATTATTTTATTTTTTTTTTTATTTATTTTTTTATTTTTTAAATTTTTTGACCACTTCAATTACTATATTAATTAAATAAGTGATTTTATTCATTTTTATTTTCATCTATTTTTTTAAAATTTTAAACTGAAGTAATCAAATCTAAAAAAGCAAAAAATAATTATTAAATTAAAAGAATATATAAAAATATATTCACTTCTTTTAAAATAGCAAAAAGTAAATAGAAAAAAAACTTCTACTTTTATGAGTTACTTATATAATTATTCAATTTTAAAGCTGAAAAATAATTTTAAAATATAATTAAACTTTTTATAAATATTTTCAAATTTTAATTATAGAGTTAAATATTTTATTATAATAAAATAATAAAAAAAATAAATAAAGAAAAATTTAAAAATTATAAAAATTTTATTAATTATAATAAATTATTATATATAGATAATAGATTCTTTAAATTACTTTAATTTTGATTTATAAAATATATAATTTATATAAAATTTAGATTTTATCTAAAGTTTAATTTCAGATATCTTAATTTTAGATAGTCTTATATCTGAAATTATACTATCTGAATTAAATTTCAAATATTTTAATTTTAGATAGATTTGTATTTGAAATTCAGATTTTATATGAAATATAAATTTAAATATTTTAATTATAAATAGTTTTATATCTAAAATTCAAATTCTATCTGAAATTCAATTTCAAATATCTTAATTTCAAATAGGTCTTATATCTAAAATTCAGATTTTATTTAAGATTGTATTTCAGATATCTCAATTTCAGACAACTTTATATCTGAAATTTAGATTTTATCTGAAGTTTAATTTCAGAAGGACCTTGAATAATACTAAAATAGGTTAGATCTAGCAAAAAAAAATTTACTTTTAGCTATATGTAATACTTATGACTATAATTAATATGTATTTATAGCTCTTTACTTTTAAAATTTTAGTAAAATACGCATTCTAATCTCTTAACCTTTATTAAATTTTTATTAATAAAGCAAAATTTAATCAAACTATTTTATTTAAGAAAATAATTATTTTTTAATTATCTTTTTGATAATCTCTTTCCTTTCAAAATATTCAATATAATATTTTTTTTATTATCTACTAATCTAAAAATATCACTATCAATAGAAATTTCTGATTTTCTAATATGATAAATAATATTTAATAAATTATGATGTATTAAAAAATAATATTTCTTCTTAATCAAATTACTAAATAAATCAAAATGAATTAGAAAATAAACATAAAAAAAAATATAAAAATATCATCTAAATTTGTAATAGGTTCATTAATATAATAATGATTTGAACTATATACTTGAAAATATATTGCTATTACTTATTCAATACACATATTTTTCCTATATTATATGAAAACATAATCATTCTTAATCAATAAAAAATCTTTACTTATATTTGCTATTAAAATATTCAGAACTAATAAGTTAATAAATTACATTTATCTATTTAAATATAAAAAATTATAAATAAAAATACTCTCAACTGGTACTTCAAATTCTTTAATCTTTTTTTTACTTTTGAAATATTTTTTTAACATTTTCAATTTCAGCAGAATGTAAGTTTGCAAAAGTAATAGCCATATATTTTATTTTCTTTTATTATTTCTCTTGCTAAATAATAAATCGTTATTTTAAGCTATTAATTTTTGTAAAATATGCAATAAAATGATTAGCTTTATTTAATTGAATAATATTTTAAACTTTTGAATAATTTGGATATGTTTCAAGAGTTTTGAATTTTGTTCAAGAGGTTTAAAAGTACATGCATCTTACAAAATCTATTGATCTATTAATATATCAATGCAGTTTGTTAAACTATATTGAAAATTAAGATTCACTATTAAATTTTAATAATAATTAATATAATATTCATTTAAACTAATAATTACAAAATAAAAGCTAAATAAAAAATATTTATCACTATTATCATAATTAATAACTAATAGATTATTATTAGATTGATTAATTAAATCCAGTTGACTATAACTTTCATTAAAAAATTTACAA